CAGTTTTTCACGTCTCCAGGAACTAGATCGTGCGACTAAATAAGAAAAGTTTTTCCATCTGAAGGCGGCAATTCGTCCGGGAATTATTTGCACTGGATTAAAATACTGGGTTACTATTTACTATTTAATCAAGCGATGATGAATAAAATTTCTCTGAAAAATGCACGTGTAGTTTTGACGTACACCAGTAGCTCGATGGAAAAACTTTGGACTGCAGCTCGCGTACATACGAGTCTCGGGGGATTTTGGAAAAATAGAGCAAGGAGCATACATTTCTTATTCAAACCCCAGCGGAAAAATACAAAACTGAATATCCTCCCCGGATACGGCAATACAATGAATAATCCAGTCTTAAATTCCAGAATGAAAAAGTCCTCGCATTTCACCAGACATAAAAAATAATTCACACCAGTAACTGAACCCTCACTCGACGTAATTAAACATTTCTGGGTATTATTTGATTCTCACAGGACTCTATTGAATTATTTGTGAAGGGTCGATCAGATTTCGCGGATGGAATTTTGAGCTTTTGTATAAATAAATGAATCTCCAATGCAGCGAGAGGAGCTAGAGCTTTGATATTGAGGAATTCAACGATTTCGCGTAAAAGTAAAAGGTTTTTCATTCCACAAAGAACGTGAATTGGGATTATTCGATGTAGGATACTCTTGTATAGATCGAACAGGGTGCGGTGAAATAGAGGAGTGGACAGAAAAAAGGAATCGCGTTGAGAGGAGTAAATAGAACGAAAAGTAGCGGAAAGATATTGAGCCCCAGTGGGTTGGGCATCCTTGCCCCGAGGAAATCGGTTGGAATGAAACACGCTCTACCAAATAAAGTGATTTCACCCGACATTTAATTCTACTATTCGTGACAAAAGTTCTAGACTTAGAAACCCATAAGTTCGATGGGAAAAAAAATGAAGAAACAAATCTGAGCTACTGATCAGAGTAATGGGCCCAGTTAATCGTATTTTCATGTCAATTGTATCACCGAGTGTTAATTCTCTCAGTAGATGCATTCTGGGGGTATATTTCACACTGGCAATATGCCAGATCGGTAATCGGAGACGATTGTCAATAAAAGTTGCTGATATATCGGAGAAGGTGACCACAAACTTCGAGGGAATGGACCCTGTCATTCAATCCGCAGTTTGTGAATCCTTGAGTGCTACTGATTTTTTTTTATCTCCCTGGATACCGATGGCGTAATTTGGATTCAATATTACTCGAATTACTGGGTGGAATGTTCGTTATTACTTCATGAAATCGAGTGTAACTGAATTATGCAGCAAAGTGGTGGAAGAAAACAAGTCGACTGCTGTGTTGGATGAGTTTTTCAAAGATATCTAAGAAACGAAGGGAAATACTGGAATTTTTATTAAAAGCTTTATTGGAGAGCTAATTCCCAGCTGCAAAAGTGGTCATTACAAAAAAACGATTATCTTTCTTACTTTCAGAGATACAACTGCTGTTTGCCGTTCATCATTTCAGAATTGGTAAAATCCTTGATTTTTTACTTTAATTTTTAAAAAGCAGAGCATTCTTTTGCTCGATTTTTTCTTGTTATATGCAATTGAATGATTATCCTCAGTGATACAATGAATATTCCTGAATTATTCCCTCCTAAATCCACTCCTCCTGGAAATTACAGCGAAATTCTCATGAAATTTGAAGGTTTTTTCAGCAGGGCAGAATTGAATTGGTCCCAAATACTCCGTATAACATCCATATGCGTCTCCAAGTGCCATAAAATCAACTTGACTCCCAATGTCATGGGAGAAGGACTCCACATGTTTGCGCCGTATGTTCTGCAGGTGTCTCATCCAACGTCCCCTATATCATCATCAATTTATGAGAGGAAAAAGTCACGTGAATGAGAAAGAGAGCAGTATTTTTCTCACAAAAAAAAAAGATATTCGCAACTCTAAGAAACGTCAGTCTACCCGCATAAAACCCGCCCTTTTCCTTCCCTCTTTCCCCCGTTTTTCACCGTTTTTTTTCCACCCATTTTTTTCAACTCGTAAACGACCCGCCGGAAATACTGCCATGAAATTTACAAGTCTCGGTCAGTCCCAGGGATAGACATGTTCAGGTGAAAATATCGCCCCAGCACCAATCGAATATCGATTACGTTGCCCAAGCACATGCAGTTGCAATTTTTTTTCATCAGTTTCCTCTTTGGGCTTCGCCAAGTTTTCACTGTAACGTGACTAAAAACATTGACGCCTGTTATTTACAGCTTATGGTTTATTGTCAGATGTACGGCGCCTGTGTAACGAGCGAGTATGAAACGAAAACTTGGATGGAAACTGAGTACACGAGTTTTTGCTATACTTCCGCTTACTCATTCGCTATTTGAAAATTATCCTCAGGTGATCGTAAAGCCCACGGTCTATCGAGAAAGGCGTTGCAGGTGTTATTTAAGGCTTTTCAGTTGGTCCTATTAAAATGCCTAGAAAATTGTTCAAGTGACGTAATACGTTGTCAATCATGACAAGAGGATTGTCTCAAAGGAGTGATTTTCTTAAAATCACTCACCCATTAATTAATAAAAAATATGTTGTATATGGTTAATAAAAAATAGTGCGACGGATTATCCTCGTCGGATGCAACACCAGACAACACAAATGTAACAATACACGAAACAAGTTGGAGTATTGTCCTCTTTCGAGGAATATTGCAGAAGAACAGGGGAAAACGTATAGTCTACACAGAAGATCGTAATTACACGAGCAAAACAGTGACAATGGCCATTAGAAATGAAGGACCCATTTATCTTTCCCTTTTCGTTTTCACTTGGTTGATGCCATCAGACTGCCGATTTTTAATTCCATGGTGCATGTAATATCATGAATAATTGTCATGTGGATCTCATCGTAATGGCTCTCTATGTGAAATGGTGATTTCTCGAGTACATCCGGGATAGACCAAGATGATGGAGAGACGAGTTATTTGCAAAGATTCACCGAGACGATTTGTTTTCTCGTCGCCTCATTTACCTGAGTGCTGGGTTACACTGTGTCGAGAGACTGGAAAAAGAGATGCTAGTTTGCATTGGAAGAGGCTGAGTTATGATGCTGGATGTATTCTGGTATATTAAAATCGTCGAGTATTTCTCAGTCCGAAGATGAATTTCATTGCTGTTAAATTCCTGATGTCTGCTGCCTCACCAGTCACTCCTGTGCTGCTTTCGATTTTTATGCAGAGCCTGGACGTCAAGAAAAAAATGCAATTCAAATTGTTATTGTTTTTTTTTAATGGAGAATATGGAATGATGAAATAGCCTGGAAAGGGTCGTTATTAATGCACTCCATTGGGCTTTGAAAGTGGGGAAATGAGCGAGAGAGTGAGAACATTTTGAATACACAAATGTTATACCGGGTAGCAATCTTCCCCTGAGTATATGAAGTGGTGCATGGCCTCTCCTCTTTCTGCATAAGGATAACATACATAACCGAAAGGACTAGCTGTAGATATGCGACACCGTGTGCGTACCATATTATATGACCTGCTCCCATAACACCTCTACTCGCTTTCAGCTGTAATAATGTACCCACTATAAATTACACTGGACTTGCAAACACCTCTTCCGCCTCGCTTATTTCCCATGGTGAAATGCCCATTTATAACGCCATTTGACTTTTCTCAATGTCATTTGTCCTCATTTTCAAATCCTCCCTATTCCTCGCCATTTTTACTTTTGCTACTTATTTGTTTTGATACTATTTTCTTTTTATGTTTTTATATTTTTGGGGGTTTCAGAAATTTTTATCATCTAAGGAGCGAGCGCAGAACTAGTAGATGAAATTAATCATCTTCTGTCCTATAAATTGGAGATCAGGCCCATGGGCATTGTCGCCATGACTGACAATCAGTTTTTAAAATTATTCAATCAGCCCACAAAATGCCAGTGTTATAATAAAGTAATGCTCAAGGTATGAACAATGAATCACTCAAACTAAAAAGCCTCTTGACACAACCGAATAAGACGTTGTCGGGGGTCCATGTAAAATGTAGGGTCCTGCTCCCCAATGTTTTGCTCCAGAGAATCCCTCCCAGGTGCAGTACCTCACAGTTACGTTACCACTTTCCCCAACAGCAAGGTAGTAATACCATGACGTATTACATTGTGTTATGTGCCTTGCGGAGACTGCCCCCATGGACTTCGGTCGCCCAGTGGTTGAATAAATTACATCACATCCCCAGAGGCTATGTCGTAAAGGCCGAACACGAGTGAATGTGATCCATTGGAGCAGTACCACCGCTCCAGTTATCCCCCAACAATTTCCCCATTCAATTCAATCCCCATCCCCGATTTACAGCGCCATAAAATATCCATCGATTTCCTTCGACCACTGCAAAAAGAAAAGAAGAACCATTCAAGGGCACTCGGACAAACCCCCCAGAAAAGCAAAAAAGCGGGAAAAAAAAAATCTAAAAAAATACCCCCGAATCAACATGAAGCGACTGAATAGCACAAGGCACTTGGCTCGTCCCAGTTTACCAAGCAAAGATCGCTAAGATCTCCAGATCCGTGAAAGGGTGAGAGGGGAATCGAAGTGAAAGATGTGCAAGATGAGGCAGATGGGGCAGTGAAAAGGGGGGGAAAAAAAAGAGGTAAGGATGAAAATAGGCGGCGAAGAGTTAAGCACCACTGGGCGACAGCTGAGCCTGGGGCGTAGGCGGCTGGCGGGAAGGAAACGTGGCCGCGAGAAAGGTTGGGGGGGTAAAAAAAATTGAGAGAGATAAAAAATTCGATAGAGGAAGATAGAGTTGGGGGTGATAGAGAGAGTTGGGGGGGAGATAGAGAGAGTTGGGGGGAGATAGAGAGAAACAGAGGGGGACAGAGAAAGAAATGGTGGGCGATGGAGGGAGAGGGAGGGAGATAGAGGGAGAGGGAGGTGATCAGATGGTGGGGGAATGAGTGAGTGTTGAGGGCGCGCAGGGGATCGCAAGTGGGGGGCTGTAAACACGCCGGCGCCTCAGTGTAGCCGCGTCCGTTGGTGAGTTACGTTCGTCCTCAAAAATTTTTTCACCATTCCCCAACGTTTTTTTCCCCCCCGACTCATTCCCGGAACAACGAAACTACACAGCGAACATCACATAATACACAAATTCCAAAGTCATTACAATCTAATTGAAAATGAATTTTCCTCCCGATGACAGAGGTTAATATCAGAGGTGAATTGAATAATAAATGTTGCACTCGTGACGCGAGTTACAGTGAGTTTACCAAGAACTTGGTGCACACGTCTGGCTCAACGAGAAAGAAGAAAAAAAAAACAGGCTGCAAGTGCTCAGTGTGTGTAGTGAATACTTGGTTTTACTCATTTAAGTTTTGTCGGTTGTACTGTGACTTTTTGGATTATTTTCCTGCGATTCACTTGTATATCGTTGAGCTCTGTGCGTGCTACTACCAAGGGTACGTTTTTCCCTTCTCCCTCTGGCCCTTTTGCAATTTCTCTTCTTTTTTTTCCTCTCTCAACTCTCCTCCTTTAACTCCCTCCTGGTCTGTATTCCCGCCACATCACTGCCTTTTCTTCGTGTACGCGAGTTCTTGTTGAGTGCTGCTGAGAGTTGGTGTCTCCTTTCGTCGGCCTTCGACACGACGTGCAAACACAAAGGAAACGGAGCAGGAGCTATCGATCGACGATACGTCCCTACCGCGAGTAAGTCGATTATGTTGTTATTTGTGCACGTTTTCTTGTTATTATGGTAATAGTGAAATTATCACCGATTTTACTCAGGGCTGGTAAAAATTGTGATTATTGGATGGCCTTGAAAATGCTCCAGTCAATTTCAGGTGTTGAGAGCGCACGAGGTGGAATTGATCTGAACTATTTTACGTTTGAAATTTCTGTTTACGGAGTGAGTTTGAGAATTCCGGTTTAATTGGATGTGCATGCTCTCAAGGGGCAATAGCAACTACATTATTCATCCGTTGTTTTGCCAGATTGGGGATAAGAACAATGACAGGTGATTTATTCGGGTACGACATGGCTAATCGGGGATATGAATTTATCGGTGGGTAATTAGGGATTCGAGTCGCGATTCAAGGAGTGTGAGTGTAATTCGAGGATTAAAATCAAGGATAAATTATTAAAACGAGTGATTTTCAGTCATTTACCTATGATATGGGGATTCAGCGAATAGTCATCGATTCACTTGAATAAATATTATCTATTTGATTGTCTATCTTGCCTTATCATGTCGGTTTGTGAATTCTCTCGGTTATTATCGCGTAGAGAGGAAAAATTAATGATAGTTGGTATATTTAACAGTGTATTTACCCCCGAGGGAAAAAAAGGAAAAACGGAAATGGAGTGACTCGATTGTGGGTTCAATGAGGCATCAATGTGCAATTTAATCGGAATTCACTGAACCGCTGAATTCTACAATTCGTGGGTCAGGATCAAAATGTTAATGCTTTTATTGAACTATAGTACTGATTGCACATCACTTGGTATCTGTGTTGCTTCAGTTTGTGGTTATGACACTGTGAATCGAGTCTCAATAACCAATGGCTCAACGATTCAATCTGACAATGAGTTAGAACTATGAATTTATCGTTATGCAAACTCAAACATGACAGCGGTTTTGCAGGTATATGCACTTGCTCGGTACGTAATGTGTTTCATTGCGCTCGTATGAAGTATTCATTGAATTCTATCCCCGTCACGATTCCTTGACGTGGGGGATTCAGTACATGCGATTTGTTGTAAGGGCATGAAAAAAAAAATTTCATTTACACCGAGTGTCGGGGTAATTCTGAAATCATTAGTTTAAATTCAATATTTTTTCTCCATATAGCTTCTGCTTTCTCTTTTGCTTCATTACTTCTATAGAAGTTAATGAGTCAATTAAGTTCGTAGTAGAGTACTCATTTTGTTTGGTATATCTCAGATCTAGTCATTAATTCTGTTGACTGTTCCCGATGAGTCTTAATTATTATTTATAAAATAAAGGAAGCATATGGATCATCTCTAATTCAGAAATAATTCCTCTCAGACTCAAGCCAAATTGAACATAAATGCGTGAATAAAATGTGAGTCATGAATGCCCATGTAATCGACTTTGCTGACCCATAGCCCATGGGTAAAAAATCCCAGCAGACAGGTACATGTGATGTCATGTTATCTCCTCTCCATCCAGTGGAAGCTTCTTTTCCTTTGTACTGCTACTCACCATACAAAATACTTGAGATATCCCCATGTGCCACCCCAAAAGTATCAAATTTACGACGGCTCACAGCGAGTGATGGCTTTTTTCGGAGGAAAAGTTGGTCCTCATGAAATGGGGGGGGATAAGAAAAACCTGTTAGGAGCATTTAACGATTGAATGTACCTCTTCACAATTGACTGACGTATCTTCTATTGAATCTGCGGACTATGACGTCATCTTTGAAACATCTCGCTGAGAGATGCGTTTGTATGGGATGAACAAAGTGAAATACCATAGAAGGCATGAAAATGAGGCTCTCAGTCTGGCACACACGCACACATCAAAGTTTACATCCATATTTTCTCTAAACGCTCATTCATCCTTTGATCAAAGCTACTTTCTACAGATGGAAGACAACTCACCACATCGGTCTGATGGATTTCGCGATATTTCGATCGCTTAAGATAAAAGACCGTTGAAAATTTCAATCTTCATTTTCATCTCGTTGAATTACCGTTGAAGTTTCTTTGAATGTTGTCCATTTGTCAATTCACATCGACTGACAGTAAATACGACATTCGATTTGAAGAAAGTTCAGGGAATAATTCGCAACTGGAATTCATGATGGAATATCACGATTTTATTTTCAAGTAATTTCGATCGATTCCAAGGGCCATCGACCTGGGGTGCTATGTACTGTAGCTAGTATCGACTATTCACCCTCCAAGGGGCTATATTACTCGTGGAATTATCGACAAGATATTCCGCGACCTTCGCATGCCCGATGATCAAAGCAATGGCACCACGTGGAGGACAAGCACAGATGGACAAACGAAGATGATGTACATGTGTGTGTCTGGAGGGTTCAACGGAAATTGCTTCACAAGGAACGGAAGGAGCTCCAGCTAACCAAATTTAATAACCGCACGTCTCCCGGGAACCCGTCCACAGACTCAATGGCCCTTTATACAACCTCAGTTTTCATTTCAAAGAGTCTCTGAGGAAGCAAATGGACTCGAAAAAAATAATATTGCGGCTTATTGGTGAGTGATGGACCTCAATTAAACCAAACGAGTAAAGTTTATTCGTGGTAATGGGTTTTTATCATTCGTTTACCCAACAAAATCATCCACGAAGAATTTTTCATCTGGAAATTTGTTTCTCCTTATTAATGAGGCAAATTTGACAGGAAAATAAAATCTGGATACAATCCTGATGATGATGACTTCATCCAGGAGTTGAATCTCGTAATTATCAAATCATTCGTATTGTTTCGGCTTTTTCTGATGTTATTTTAGCGTGCGAATCTCTCTGTCATTCGTTAATATAAATATTCTGCTATCTCTAAATGGCTCATGGTGAACGAAAATACAAATATGGTGATATTGGGTCTCTCTGGTGTCCAGAGATAGCTAGCTTGATCGATTATGCTCTGTCTGGCTGTGCACAATACCAGTGCTCAAATGCAAATTGAAGGCCATTCACACAATTTAAACGGTTACCCATTGAAAATGCCACTTTGATAATATTTCGTAGATGATGGAAAACCGAAATTACATGGGGAAAACGTCTGTCATTTTCTGAATGAGAATATTCCACAATCTGACTGACTTTTCTATTTTTTTCTTTCACTCAAATAATTATATTAAAAATAAATAAATATTCTTGAAAATTATTATAAAATGATTAGAACTTTGATGGGCAGCAGAAAGATTATGTTTCATCAAAAAAAAGTCGGAACCGAAATGTCGTTTTAGCGGAAGAAAGTAACTGTTTAGGTAACATGAAAAATTTCCATCTCTGCTGCTCAAAACTGTGGAATTCTCTTGAATTTCCAGAGAAAATCGATGTTTCAGGAGTTGTTCACTCTAAATTTGATGTCCCTCCGGGAAATGACTCCTAAAAAGTCCATGGAATTTCAATTTCTTCGTAACGGTTGCTTTCAGCACCACGATTAGATTTGAGAATGCTGTTTTTACACTATTTCCACAGAATTTTTCTCTCCGCGTTCCATTACTCGTCTCGATTGAATGACTGGTTTCGAGAATAACCCAAGAGTTATCTTTGCTGATTGTTGCTCGATTTTTTTCCTCAATATATTTTTACGTCTAGAATGGATATCAATTCCACTCCACCCACAATCGTGAATCTTCCCGTTATGATCGGCTTGAGTGGTGCTCGTCTGCAGTACCCGTTAGATAGTGAAAAGCTCTTTAGATGTTTGAAGGATCGATTAAAAAAATAATCATTACCAATGATAGTAGCGTGGAAATTAATTAGCAGCCAGCCGTATTCAACTAGACGGGAATTTTTCACGTTTCCATGTGAGATACGGGGCTATTAATTTCATTTCCATCGTGCAAGGTCAAATGTCAGAAAGAGTGAGAAATGTCTGCGCTTGCAGCTGCAGTCCGATAAGGACCGATGCAATCCGAGAGGTTAAGAGCATTTACAGCAACTTATACACTTGTATGACGTCACGACAAGATGGTACTACTTTAAGTTTTTCAAGTTGCGGCTGAGATGGTTTAAATTCGAAAGTAGCGAAGAGGTGGTGAACTGCATTTTGAGGATCTAGTCATTTCTGTAGTGCCTAGCACCAAGAGCTTACCTCTAATTTATTCCAGACTCTGGATTATGATTTTCACGTGTGTCAGCTAGGATTGATGCTCACCTCATCAACCCGTTATCTATCCATTATCTATCGTCGCTAGAAATCTGCTGATGGTGTCTCAATGGTTCTTATTCAGTAGGTTAGAGAAAACGGTGACTGGTCGAATAACCATTTTTTTGGGCTTTCATTTCAACAATCAGAAGTGGAAATCTTGTAAAATCACTCCGTCTGCTCTCGAATCGCAGTTGTGATTCAAAGAATTCAATTGATTGAAGAATTTCCAATGGCTGACACTCGGCTTTCCACAGTGTATTTATGGATTATAGAGATATCTGTATATTGTGAAACGATGAGATTGAAAATATCAGGAAATGGGGAAAAGCGATGGAGGTAGTGGAACAAAGAAGCCGAGGGTATGTGATTTCACGGGGAACAAAGCACCGCGAAAAACCCTCGAAGAACATTTCATCCTTTACATCTGATCTTTCGGTAGACTGAGATATATATCCCAGAGGCTCTCATGATTCTGATACAAAAGGTTTCAAAAACAGTTTCATCGTTATTCGTATCAGACATCCAGTCGCCCTCCAGAAATTATCGATTTTTAGTTTTCCTTTTTCATCTTTAATACTCAACGTCAATAACCTGTGGTTATATTCCCTCTATAAAAGGGGAAACTGTTAGCTCTCACACTGGATTGCGTGGACGCCACATGTTTAATTTTGCAAGAGACTATAGCCAACACGCAAACCACTCACCTTTCCTTCTCGAAGTGCGATCTTGATTTTTTTTTCTTTTTCATGAAATTCACTTTCTTCTTTTTCCATCGTTATTCGAGGAATGAGGATGCTGAGAGGGCGAGGGAGCGAGAAAAAAAAATGCACTTTGAAGGCT